CCATGAGCTCGACGATGATGGGCAGGTACGATGCAGTGATGACGATGAGTGGGATCCGGATATATGATGACGCGTGTAGCATTATAATACATCAGTACTTGTGAATAGTGGGATTGACTGGTTCAGACCGTGCCAACACTAGGGTACTGCAAGCTCGTCCTAGGCTCGCCGCGAAATCGACGCGTTTGGCAAGCAATCATAGGTCTTATGTAATCAGGTATAACCGCCGTACGTCCAAATCATGACCAGACAAACCACGACGGTGACCCGACCCTCTTTCTACTACTATCGAGACCTTTGCTACGTCCGCCTCGTCTTTGGCATGAGAAAGAACGATGAGTGGCGTCAACGTCTGACCTGTGATGGCCATTTCGAGCGTGTGTTTCTCTGGTTGACAACTGAACGCCGTCTTGGTAGGCCATCGGAAGCTACCTTATTGCGATCTTCGGGTCCTCACGTTTTACTCACTACAGTTGTATCGGTGCTTTGTCTGTAAGGAAATTCAGCGGAGTCGGCAACTGTTCGCGCTGCTAAAGTACTCATACCAGACAGATATGTGAAGTGTCACTTAGATTCAACCCAGAACTTCTCCAGCAGCAAATCAATTTTAAATACACGTCGAGTCGAAGGCAGACTTCCATCTCAGATATCAAAAATACAAGGGTGACTATGGGTACAGATCTGAGTCAATGTTTGCAAATGTCGCAAAAAAACCAAATCAAAAAGACAAAAAGGAAAATCTATCACGTTCGTGTGACGGAGGGAGACATCGGAACACTCTGTATATTCTGCGTCTTTGCCCTCGGAAGTCTGCAATGTCAGCGGTTCGTATCAGCGAGTATATGGCAGTGTATAAACACGTTGCTTACTCGTCAAAATGAGTGCCTCTCTTTGGGTCAGCTCGTCTCTTGGTAAGTGCTTTCCTGACCTTTCTCTCAGGGCGAACGACGATAATGGGCACGGGGGAATTCGAGAGACAATACTTTGATACGCTGCCCACACCTGGCGAGCCGAAAGCCGCACCCCAGGCCTGCATCATGCCGCGCTGACCTCTCGAGCCCACGACGACTGAGTCTGGGCGGTACAGAGCAATCAAGCGCTCAAGCGTCGTAGTAACTTTACCAGCAATGAGCTCGACAATGATGGACAGCTAAGTGCGATGCCCCCAATGAGAAGCTATGCCGTAAACATGACAACCACGTACCTTGCGTTCTGGATCGTATTCGATGCATTTCTCCTGAATCTGGCGCATAAGTTCACGGGCGTCTTCCCGAACGACTTCGTGATCCTTCTCTATTCAATGTTTGCGGAAGTCCTTTCTGGGAGATATTAGTAGTGGCTTACCTAAATCCTCTGGATCGATGCCTCTGAAGACGATCAACTCGTCCCCGTCCTGCACCAAGCTTTCCAGCGCCCAGTCAAGAGCCTGGCGTCCGCTTTCGTCTGGACTGGACGCACAAAGGAATACCCTCGTCGCTCTGTTTCTAGCGTACCCATCTGATTGCACGTGCAGGGTGAACGAGAACATAGACGCAGCGGGGTTCTCAAAGGTGTCGAATGACACTTTGGGCGTGTAACCTTGCCCAGCTACGGATTGAGCCGTACTCTGCTGCATGTTCACAGAGGGGGAACGCGAGAGGGATGTCGAAGAGGACGAGAGAGCTGGTAGTCGCGATGTCGGGACTGGGAGGGTCAATGACGACGAAGGAAGAGGGGATAATGGTGGGGATGAAGGCATGGAGGATGACGGGAAGAGACAGGGAGAACCCGGCCTTGACGATTGCTTGAGTGCAGAGCGTAACATGACTGGTATATGCGTGTGCTGTTCAGACATGGCGAGCGGTGTGATAAAGACATTATTATCAGTTTATTGATACATATTATGTACATAGCCAACACCAAAATAATCATAATTACATATTATCTACTTTCATCTCAAACTCTCATGTCGACATCTCGTTCGGTTAGTCCTACCGGGGAGGAGGAAGAGACAGAGCACGTTGAGCAGCGCACGGAAGCGACACCCGAGTCCACTGGCGAGTCAACCTCCCCAGAGGAGTCTGCTGAACCTTCAGATACAGACCAGGACACCGCCCATCCTTCCCTCCCAACAGCGGGATCATGGCAAGCCATTTGGTCCCCTCAGCACAACACCTATTACTTCTACAACTCCGAAACCAAAGAAACGACTTGGATAAACCCCATTCAGCCTGCCACCTCTGAATCAGATCCCTCGTCTTCCACCCCCCAATCTGGCCCTTCCGCAATAGATTCTCACTATGCCGCACTGCAAGCAAACGCTATGGCGCAGGGTATTGATCCCTCCCTAGCCCATCTAGATCCGTCACTTGCTTCCTCGTCTGGTGTTCCTAGCAATTTTATGTACACCGCCAAGTTCAACGCGAGGACCGGCGCCTTTGCTAAGGCGGATAGTCGCGATCCTACTCACTTGTCCGAGTACGAGCGTGCTAAACGCATGAGCGAGTTCTACTTTGATGTTGGTGCTTGGGAGAGGGATGTTGAGACTCGCAACAGGGCTGAGGCTGATGCTGATGCTGAGGGAGAAGGCAAGAAGAGAAAACGTCCGACGAAGAAAGACCTAGTGAGATCAACCATGCAGATTTCGTTAATGTCGGTTGTTGACTTTCATTTACAGGAGCGGTTCAAGGAACAGAAGAGATTAAAGAAGATCGCCAAAACCGCATGGCTTCGAACATAGGAACCCTTCTGTAATATTAGAAGCACGAATTCAAAGCAGTCTGGCATAGTTCCTTTAGTCGTACAGAACCGCTCGTCAGCCGGATTGTCCGTGTGCAATCGTACAATCATCTTGAGGTAATGATAGGTAACTACCAATAGCTACCACCCGGCTATATCTGCAACTTGATCGTCACTAGGTGTCCGTCATTATGCCTATATTCTGATGAGACCCTATGTCGCGAATACACCAATGATCTTGAATGAAGGAACGCTTTGCCCCTCCTCGCCAATTAGCACGCACTCAACGTAGTGCGATCCTCTCGTAACATAGTGATCGATCACCGCAAGACTTCATGATCCATCAATGACTGCTTGCACGAACGAAGGAATCGGGACACTCACGTCGGCACCGCATCACCTACGTCTCCAGCATTTTCTATGATCACCGCACCTGCAAAATTATCATCCACCCAACATTCAATCTCACTTCCCTCCCCAATCTGGCTCATAGGCTCCTTCAAGAAATAAATCCCGACATCTCCAGCGCCCGTTTTGATAGGTACGCGCAGCTTGCTCAACGGCAGCGAGCTATACCAATAATACCCAGCCGTAAGTAAAGGAGATGAGCCTGCTGGAGGATGCGCCACCGCCCAACCAGAACCGTAGAAAAGTGACGGAGGTACGGGGTTCACGAGGTCATTAGCAGATGCGCAAAACGGCGCGACCTCTTCAAATGGCCGCGGCTCCCTGGGGCGCGTACTTATCCGAACGGGAGGAATTCGTAATTCAGGGTAAATCGGTATAGGCTGAGATCCTGCTTGGGCAAGAGCTAGTGCATGTTTTTTCTCGGCCTCTGCACCGTCATCCACGGGCCGTGGTGGTTCGGGCACAGCGGCGCCTTTCCTTGCGCCGACACCGCCGAAGAGATGTGTATCTGGACCTGGGCCGTAGCCATGCGCCATCATCATAGGTATGGTGTCGTACGAGTGGCCGCCCGCCGTTGACCACGCTGCACATATTTGGGACTGGAAGTATGATACGAGAACGTCAGTGAGAAGTTCATGGCCTGCCGTATTCGCGAGGATGGGGTCCGCAAAATAAGGCTTGATGAGGTCAGGATTTGACATGTAAGATGGATAGAGTATGGGTTTGACGCTGTGCATGGACGTCAGAATTATACCCTCTGGGAAGTGATGCGGCTGTACCTAATATGCGGCACGTCATAGAACTGTGCAACGATATTGTGCCAATGGTCAGGTCCTGCAAAACCATATACCTGGTGTACCTGTGCACTAAAATGCCCTAGAATGATGACTGCAGGCTGATCTGGGCGGTCCAATATAGAGCGAACCAACAACTCGAAATTTTCCATCGAGCGCTGGGAGCTGGTAGGATTTAGACACTACAAAACACTTTAGCTTGAAACCTGTGCTTACCCTTCATCATCGACGTCAAATTCAAGTATCACAAGGTCGGTATCCTCTGGAATGTGATGCGAGCTGCAGAATCCAAAGTACCCTGAATTTGTGCGCCTCATAGCACCGTTGGTCAGCTCCGAAGCTGGGTGAGGGAAAACGCTTGACCACCACTGGAAAAAGCGCGAAGGATAACATCTAGGAGACAATGGATCATCTCCTGCTGCATGACATGCAGAAACTACATAAACACACCATCAAGATAGGGTCTTCTGCGAGATAAAGAACACGCACCTGAACCACCTAGCACGCTGATCGTCACAGGTTGGCCCAAAAGCGCTTTATGAATCACGCGATGCACTCTCCCCCCGCTCCCCAAATGCAAACGACTCTGAGCCAATGGCACCACACCATACTTGTTCGCAATCTCGTCCCCAGGTCCAAATACAGGACAAAAATCGAATGGGTTTGCTTCCTCCGACGCATTGCCGATAAGGTAATTCGCATCATGCAGGTAATTCTTTGGTACGAGGCCGTCTGTGGTGAATGACCCGAGTCGAGGGTGCGTCTGGTTTGAAGACAAGAAAAAACCGCGATAGCGCGAGGATTAAAATGAATCCAAGGATGATGGCCCATATTCTATTGGTGACGCCTAGCGCTCTTTGATTCCACCTCGTATGTTTTGCTGGATCTGAGCCCATGCCCGTCAGTGGGTGCTGATTGGGAGGGGAGATGCGTGCCAGACCCTTCCCAAGGCCTGAGCGTCGTTGCATATACGTTATAACAAAAAAAGAAAAGTACCGTAGAGGTTGCCGAACTACGAAGCAAGGCAAGATGGAGCCCTAACTCCGCGTAATAGTGTTTACAGACGAGAAAGAAAAATAATGGACACTGTGGGAGTTGAACCCACGACCTCACGCAGTCCCGTTATAATGCGAAGCGTGCGCGCTACCAACTGTGCCAAGTGCCCTTTACGGCAGTTCAATCTGACATCTTCATCCACTTTCATTCCATTGTCATTATCTAACAACCAAGGTCAAGTCAATTTTATTGCACGATCTCCCGTGATTCTGTTCAGATCAGATGACGCCGCCTGGATAGCTAGCTGCAGTCATTATATCTGAGGCAAGTACTTTAGAAAGTCCATAGCATCCGTATTGTGTCTCAAGCGCACGTGCCTCCATAGGGAGTCCCTATACATCATGCAAACCAAATAACTCGCAACGCATTAAAAAACATGCTATCCAGGGTTCATGTACGCCCGCCTCATAGCTCGCTCATGTCCCTGTTATGTCTCACCTCCACAGACTCAGGGTCCCGCGCACGATCAGGCACGCGCTCCCAGATGGGGTCGACATCAGGACCGTCTATATCACCCGCACCGTCCCAGCCCCAACACCATACTGCGGGACTCGTGAGTAGAGGGAAAGAATACAGAGCGTAGAACTTACCATGCGAAGGTGAGGGTACAAAATCTATCGCGTCACTTTCCTCCGGCGTGAACAATCGGTCATGAGGACCGAACCACGACCGGTCCTGTGGGTCTGTCCGTGGATTGTCCGGAAGTCCTCCAAGACGAACATAACCCCGGATGGCAGTGAGGTTCCGTCTTGAAGGATGTATGATATCGAATACTTTCTGCATAAAAAATTAGCATTCAAGACGTCGAATTCTACTTCCTCCCAAAAACATACCTTATCATACGCGAGCTTCACCCGCGGAACCATCAATATACGTCCATATCCAGCCTCCCAGTAATCGTTGCAGATCAAACTGCACTCTGAAGCTGAACACTCCTCTTCTGAAAGTCGAGCCATACGGAATTTGATATACGGAGGCAAATAAAATGGAGCGGGGTCCAGTATTGCAACTCCATTCCAACATGACTGGACCTGTATGGGAAGGTGCAGTTGGAAGCGGTCGGAGGAGTAGGGGTCATGGAAGACACTTTCGAACGGGGCATTCTCCAGCGCTGTTCCGTTGATATCGCGGGCGACCCAGTTGTCATAAAAGACGGGCGTCAACTATACAGTGAAGTCGGAACGAGCTCAGGTTATGAAAGTAATATCGACACTTACCAGGTCTTGATGGTACATGTAGTCAGAAGCGCATGTTATACCTGCATTATTCCGCCGACTCTGCCAGATAAGTTCGAGCAGATCGTCCACGCATGGGAGAATGTCGTTCATGAAAATGATGGTGTCGAAATACTCGTTATGGGAGTCGCGGAGCTCGTGCAGTGGGTTAAACGCTTGGTTGCGGACCTCTGCAAGATACTCTATACGATGATTGAAGGCACCTCGTGTGCGTGTAGAGGTTCGGATGGTGACACGAAGGCCCACGCTACGCGTTAGCGCGTCGAATATACGTAGCAGCGCCTTGGTCTGGTCTGTCGAGCCATTTTCGTATATGGAGACATAGACGTTGTGGTACCCTAAAATAGCAGAAACTCGAAAGAGAGTCGCAAATAAGTCAGGAATGATATCGAAAGAGTTGTACAAGTTGATGGCGAAGAAATATTTGTGCTCCTTCGTTGGAACATTGTATACGTGTTGTGAGTCGGAAAATCCCCAGGAGGAAAACCAAGTGGATTCAGAGGGAGTTTTGTGTCCGACAAGAGAACGATATCGGTCTCGGACCTGTTGAATATAAAGCGGCTGGGAATTTCTTGTGCACTCTGTCGTATGGTGAGGAGAAAGTGTGGAGAGCAGGTCTAGGATACGTCGACGCTGGTCGATGTTGGGAAGCGCGATGTGCTTGCGAGCAGACAGACGTGACACGAATATGGGGTTGTTCCCCTCCGTTGACAAGAGCTAAACGAACAGTCACACGTTGTCATAGTGAAGAAAAAGGATAGACGTACACTGGATGGAAATGTCTTGCCAATTAGCATGCCAAGTAGCAGCCCAACCACCAGTGCCAAGGGGGTTGGGACTCGTTTCAACTGTAACCAAAATGTCTTTGGTTGCATGGTGGATGAGGGGAGATAGACGGTGATGCGAGCTCGAGGGCTCGCGACTTTGGAATAGACGCGCGGTTCAACTGTTCATACACCCAACTCCAGGATGGAAAAGGGGCGTAGGCTTGGCGGCAATTTCTTTTGATCTGCAGAAGAACGCCGCCCTTGGACTTTGGTAGTGATGACGGTCTGAAGTACGCAAGTTTCAACTTCAAATTGCGTCGGAGACTCGGAGGCGAGTACTAAGACCGGGATAATGATGGGCGCTTGTGCACACAAATTCAAATAAACTGCCTAACATGCCGTATATATTGATGAATGACGCAGTCCAAGGCTACATAACTCCCTAAGTCCCTCCTCTTTCGAGTTGGGGAACACCATATGCAAGATAACGAATGAAATTGATCAGGTAAGCGTGTGTCAATGCTCAACCTTCGAAACGCCGCGAGTCCAGTGCGCAAAGAATGCGAAAGAATAAATAATAGGAAGGGAATTTGTGGACTAGCAATCCCTGCAACCATTTATAATGATGCTGCCAAGATGACAAAGGCTGCTGCACCAGTAAACACATTGATGCTATTCGACGACGCAGCGTTAGACCTGTTTTTCATTGAGTTTGGTATTTAAAAACAACATAAAACAAAGACTGACGAAGGCGAGGTAGTGGCCGTGGAGGTAGCCTTGGCTGATGAGGTAGCCGTGGAGGTATCCTTGGATGACGAGGTAGCCGTTGCAGTAGCGCTAGCAGAAGTCAAGGTGACACCCTACATTATTACATCAACACACGCTCAAGAAACAAGAGTATCGGCAACATACCACTGCGGCACAGAGCTGTTGGGAAGCCGCTTCAGCATTTGTAAGGTCAGACCCGGTGCACGATGACTGAATACAGGTCGTGGTGCTGTTAATGAACGCCTGGCTATGGCAAAGACAGCTGTCGTCGGTAGAAGCACAGTTGCCGAAGTCAGCATTGATCATACACGGAACAGCGCAGTCTGATGATGAAAAGATAATCAGATACAATGGTAAGACAACAAAGAAAGCAACGCGTACTGGGTATGCTTTGACGCGCAATCATCGCCGCAAACGCGGTAGAGAAAGCGGCTGAAAGAGTAAGAACGACGACGGAGAAGCGCATTGTGGGTGAGCGAAAGAATGTGAGTATACACAAAGAATGAACCAAGGGAAGGAACAGACTTTATATAGCGCTTTAGAGTTTACCAGATAATTGTACATGGCAACAAAACAGACAAGAGAACAAAGGCAAACCACTTGTCAAGCAATGTGTGAAATTATATTATGCCATGTTTGGCACTTAGCTTGTACAATGCACGGAAGCAATTCATAGCTATTCGGGGTTCACCGAAAAACTATCAAGTACCTTAAGCCACTTGAACCTTATGTCATCACCATTAGCCAAACATAACCAAAGTCAGCGCGACATCTGCCGTTCCAGTTAGACGAGCTCGTCACTCAACAACTTCAAGACATGGTAGGTTACCTCCCTGTTCTATCATCCCACCGGCTGATTTGGACCCTTTGGTAGGCCAGGACACAAACCGGAAAAGTATGTCCCATCATGACGTTCTCAATCCGTAAATCTTTATCTTATCCTAGACTGGCGGCAAGCGCTCCGCTCTTCAAGACGTTGTAACCCGCGAATACACTATTCATCTGCACAAGCTCGTGCATGGCCGCTCCTTCAAAAAGCGCGCTCCCTGGGCCGTAAAATCCGTCGTCGATTTCGCCCGCAAGTCGATGGGAACCACTGATGTTCGGTTGGACCCCAAGCTCAACCAAGCATTGTGGGCTCGGGGTGTCAAGAGCGTTCCCCACCGTATAAGAGTAAAGCTTGAGCGTAAGTGCTGCTTTTTCAAGTTGCTTACGGTGATCGCAATACTCACCGTCCATTTTTGCGAATGCGTTACAGGCAAGCGCAATGATGATGAGGGCGCAAAGGAGAAGCTTTACACTTATGCCAGCCATGTACCCGTAACTTCATTCAAGGTGTGCACTTCCCCTTAGCTATTCCTCCAGTCTGAAACAAACCTTTTTTCACCCAGGGGCTCCAAACCGCTGTTGTCGACGCAGAGTAAGGGCTTGCGAACGGTATCTTCGGAAGGTCCTGTGTAGTCATTTTCATATATTTCATGCCGCCATGCACCATCACATCACACTATGGTACTCTGTCGAACCATCAAAATTTTCGCCCGTCTTGATGCTGTCTCTGAGGTTGAGTTCCTCTGCAGAAAATTCCGAACTGGTGTTCCTTGCTAGTCGGTCGCTCGAGATGTGATCCCACGTTGGAATCGAAACATGAAAACACGACGCGAGGTAGTGTGCAAATTTATGTTGAGCAGATGGGTGATTCACATCGATCAGCGGTTGGAATTACATCTTTGAGGGACAGCATAGCGAGGACATGAAACGATAGCGTTAAAACACAATAACCAGGACATGATAAAGTGCGTGATGTGTATCAGACAATCGTGGGTAAGCCTGATGTGACACTCATCGCATAACCTCCTATTTCCAATCTGCTACTTCTGCTTTTCACCTGATCAACTTGAAGCCTTCGGCGATGAGGAACATCGTACACAGGGTCGTCACATTTTTCTCCACTCATTCACACTCCCCTCCTGTCAACCTGATCCACCCAGAACCCCACATTCATCGGCTGCCAGTGGAACTTCTACAGGACATATTTTTGTTCGTCGTCAACGACGAGTCAGACTGTCCTAGTGTTTTCGCATTTGGAGGGACCACTATCTCGCGAAATTTTGCCGGTCCGCCCCTACTCTTCACTCGGGTGTGCCGCCTATGACGAATCGTTGCACATTCAACGACAGGGATCTGGTCGCGCATTAAGGTCGAGTTTCCCGGGGAACTCCCTCAACCATTCAAGTCATTCCTTCCATCTCTGCTCCAGTTTTGGCTCGCCCGGTCTGGCAGTCTACCACTCACCAACCATTTTTCCACCCAGGCCAAACTGCCTATTCTCACGTTCGTTC